ATGCGATGATAACTATTTTCCCTCTTGTTCTCCGTCCGATGTGAAACGTTGCAGAGTACAGAAATTTACATGTTGCACAATAGGGAGTAACAAGGGGAAAGGATATAACAAACATGAGTTCGAGATAATTAATTGAAGTGAATACCTTACCAGAAAGTTATTAAAAGAAAGTAATTTAACTAAATTTATGTAGATAAAGCATATAACAATTTAGAGATACGTACCGTACTTATTGCTTGATTGTTCGGTTATATTGCAGCTGTATACCCGTTTCCACGATGATCATCAATGATATTGCATGTGTGTGTATGCATGTGCATGGGTGTATATATCTGTGTATATATGTGTGCGTATACAATAACAAAACTTTTTAGAGAGGAATGATGGTCTTAAAACGTCTAAGAAAAAAGGTATGCGAGAGGTAGCATATGTTTCGTTATTGGTTTTATTCACCTTCTATACAACCTCGGGCGTAGAAAAATTATTAAAGTACGAACCGTCGAAGATAGGATGGCGTAATCTCCCCGATCTTTCGGACCGTTTCATCACCATTTATGTACTGTACGTCATTGGTGAATCGTCGATTTGCTTCGAGAATCCGGGCGTTTGACTATTATAGTGCAAACAATCGGCGGGTGGCCAGTATATTCTGTAGTTTCCCTCGCGACAGTAACTTCTAACTTGATAGACGTCACCAGTGAAACGAAGAATATCTATACCCTCGTAAATCTATGTAGTTTGACAGTTTGTATAAAATTAATATGAATATACTCAGAGGCGTCTTGGTAGACTTCTTTGTCGATGACCTAATGAGTCACACAAAAAAAGGGGATCTCGCTTGTAAACGGAGGATTTATTTTAAAATCGACTTGAGGGTTTTCAAACAGCAACCGTCGTTCGATCGGAATCAATTCAGATTCTTCCTCAACCCGAAATACGCAGAGTATCCAGGAAGGTAGACGCCGCTAACGCCAGTAATGGCGATATAGGGGATTACTCCGGACCTGAACCTTAGACCTCGTCTCCTCTCTCTCTAATTGTGACTTTAGCCTGGAGCAAACCAAATTCGAAGGCCTTGCCCGGCTAGTTCTCTTTGTCCACGCGCCGTCGATGCCTACAACTGTTGACTCCCGTTTCTCTCGGGGATAAGGAAGATAGATCGAACGGAAAAATATCGGGTTGAAGTTGATGGGACTTTCTGCATAAGGAAGTCATCAAAAGCCTAGACGATGTAGAAGCTCGATATTCTTTCATAAGGATCGTGACATCAATCTGATCACACTAAGCTGCAGACAGGGCCGCCGTAAGCGGGCGTGCAAGGCGTGCACCGCACGCGGGCGGCACGTCCAGGGGGCGGCAAAGAGCCTTTCTGGCAAGCTCAGCATAGGTAATCGTAGTTAAACAGGGGGCGGCATAATCGGTATTGCACATGGGCGTTCAAACAGCTAGCGGCGCCCCTGGCTGCAGAATCAGCTTTCCCATTCCTATCCCATCCTCTGTTTATGCGGTAACCTAAGACTCTTCAGACAACTCAGTACTTCCTAATAATGAGATGAATTTCTGCGCGGACACATTTTTCAGCTTCCGAATCATCCGGCGAATCGACAATGAATATCGGTAGCAAAATATTAATCAATAACTAATCGACAAGGCCTGATCTCATCATCAAAAGGGTCTTTAAATCCATCCCCCCGGTCGCGTATTTTTGACTTCTCCCACACTTTATTGAACTCTATCTATCTATATGTGCAGCGGTGACATCTCTAACTCTGAGTTTACCAAAACAAATCAGGGATCTTTTGGTCTCGGAGAGAGATCTACTTCCAGGCCAAATTGTCTTCCTGAGTCTCCTTGACAGACCAGATCAACGTGACCGCAGCTGGGTATGATTTCTGACCCTTAAACATCCAGATATTCAATCGTCATACTTAAAGTTCGATTTCAACACCTGTTAAACAATCTGCATCTGAATGACTTTAATTGGTCATGACATCGACTCTAAGTGCATCATCTTCTGGTCGTTACGGCTCGTCTTGCCTTCTGAGATTATTCATTTTGTCAATTTCACCTGTGTTGTGAAACCCAAGAACATTATACAGCTCATCTTGGAACGTCTTGGCCATCTTAAGAATCTACATCATAATCATCAACAGTGCCTTACCGCCAGACTATATTTTCCTCTCGTCAATTTCAATTGAATCGTTTACAGTCCTCGGAAAGCACCATTGACAAGTAACTTGTTATCAAAAGTAAGNGGTTGAAATTTCTCCCTTTTTCAAGTTGATTTCCACTCTAGTTATTAGGGGAATTTAATTGATTTTTAGGTAATAACGGGACATTGACCGGAAAAAAATCGGTAAAAATTCCGGAATTCACAAAAATAATTATTTAGTGTTGTGGTAACTTTTATATATTATATATAGCCTATAACTAACAAGAGACTTGCGATTGATATTACGAATGATGTGTCCGGACCTCGAATTTTCGTTCCCGGCACCAACTTTTTACTAATGTTAATAGCAAATGCTCGAACTTGTCCATCCAGCTGTGGAGAAAGGAGCGAGTTAACAAGCCAGACAATAATAATTCACAAGTGTGATCAAGTTTCCTTTTGCTAATATTACCGTTACTAAATTCATATCGGATAGAAATCCGTATTAAACCATTTTAACTGGATACAACCATCCCTATTGTTTCCAGAACCAAACAGAGGTATCAGGCAAAGAACCTTCGTACGGGTACACGAATAAGTTGTTGCTAAATTATAAGTGTCATATAAAAACACACACTAATCTTCAAAAAAATTTGTAGTGTGGTTTTTAAGAAAGAGGAGAGTGGTGTGAAGGTCTGAAACCCTTTTTCCCGTTTTAGAACAGTATAAACCTCGTAATTTTCTTTGTAAAAGGAAAAAGGGGGCCTTCTGCGGTCGATGACCGAGACGATCTCCTCGAAAAAAATTGTTAATATATCAATAAAAGAAATCTCCTCCATTTGTTTAACGGTAATTCTATAAACGTTAATATCAACAAGACGGGAATAAGAGATGTTTCTTATCCCCTCTTTGGTTGCACGTGACACGTGGCTACAGCAATAAATCGCCTCGTTCGTCGTCAAAGGCGACGTTTGATACAAACAATATCTAGATTGTTGACTAGTTTACAAAAATTATTGTCAGCTGAATGTTAATTTATGGATGAGAACTATCAAACCTATAGAAATTTATATTATAACATATATTCTAGACACCAATATCAATAAATTAAACAAACTTCTCTGTGCCAGTGGTCCGTACTAGCTAGATCCAGACATCAACACACTAACAGGTATGCGTATAAATCATTAATAATGTCATAGTTCTAACCCCCTCAAATTTGGTATAAAGAGGGCTCACGGCCCGTTGTCGAGGCGGCCTTCAAGACATCAGGAAACAACTGGTCAACTGCCTTTCAACACTGACCGCCTACGACCAACGATTAAGCAAGGTTCCACAATTCACAACTCAGTAAGTAGAACTCTCTCTTTTCTCTCAGGTGGGCTAGGGCTAATTAAGGATAGGTATTAATGAGGATCAGAGCCTCTCCTTTGTCGGAAATACGGGAAACGCCGCTGACCGCCCTCTGAACTTCAGTTTGAATTATTGTTATTAATCTTGTTATTTGTAACCTTTTAGAATAACATTTATTAATTAAATTTGTATAATATCTTAAACGTGTGTTTACTCGTACTCGGCCAACACCTTATCGACTTATCCGCGACCTCCCACTCGGTTTTCGCCCTCCTAAATTGCCATTCACTGACCCTGTGAGCGGGACTCACCTTCCCGTTGTCGGAAAACGGTTTAAGCTTTGATGCTTAAACCCCGATTCTCACAATAAAGTCGTGCCGGTCATCTATTTAACACTTTTCAGGGAAAAATATTTGAATTGAAATAACGTAACGTAACGTAATCCAGAATGGAAGTTCTTATATAGTTAATCGGAACTTTCTGTCCCTAAGCTTTCCACGTCTGGTATTCACTTTTATCTATCTAACTCCGTTCTCGAAATTAAGATGGCAGACAGACAGACTGCTACTGTGGAAATGTATAGGTCTGCAATTCTTTTTAAATAGCGCCCAATAATGATAACTTTTGTTTGAATTACTAAACAAGGATTACAATACATTAGAATGAACTGTTTAAAATGTTAAAAAGTTTTGTTATCAAGCTGTAACAGTTGTGCTGTTTAAATATAGATGTATCCAGAGTCCAAATAAAAATTACTTCTTAGTAAATAGGAGGGTTTGTAGAAATTATCAGAAGTTGCCAGTTTATGTAAACGTTATTTCAATTCAAATCCTTTCTCCTGAAAGCAGTTAATAGATGACCGGCACGACTCTATTGATAACAGGAAACATATGATATACAGGGAAAAACACTTCCGTACTAATTTGAGGTGGTGAGTATATATTTTAAATTAAATAAATTAAAAATATATTATTAAAAATTGCAACTAAGCATTATAACGATGTTTATTTTGTTTATTTATCTGAAAATACGGTTGAAAGTTTTAATAGGGAAAAAACGACAGAATACTGTTTTTTACAGTAGAAAATTTTGAAAAAACTGAAAAAATTAAAGATGTTTAACAATGACAAACATGTTTAATTCACACCAATAGAAATAGTATCGAAGCAACCAGGTCCTTTTTGTAGGTATTACACAAAATAAATTTGTAATTAGTCGATCCCTGTATTGGTGTTAATAAATGCTGTGACTACAACGCATGGAGTTTGACACAAATTAATAGAAATTTGATACATGTAATGGCTAATAGTGATGGCAATGGCAAGTAATGGAAAAACGCCGCGTGACCAAGTGTGTACCAGAAACCAACTACCAATGTTCGGTGGTTTTATTTACTCTGCTATTAATGGGTCTAAAGGTTTTGGCCAATATATGAGTGATAAAAATTATTCATTTGATATTTGATTTTAAAATCACAAAAATAAAATTACAACCATTTATTAAGTTTAGTAGCAATTTATTGTTTTGAACTTAATAACACTCAAAAACATTAATAAAGTAAGAATTAAATACAAAAAAAAACTATTAAGGACGTAACAGTTGTGCGATATCTGCTCTTCCTATAGACTGCAAAGTTACAGCAAGATTACCAACAGTGGTTAAATCTGGATATTTCTCTTTCCATAAATTCAGCATCTGTATAATGGTTTCCTCCATATTGTTTTTATTGTTACTTTCCAATGTTTTCAATTCTCCTTCCTGGAATACAGTTTCTACGAAGGTAACGAAGAGAATAAATAGTTAAGTTGGGATAATTCATGATTACTTTATGGTAATTGCTTTAATTACCACAAAGACATTTAATTAAATATCTAACTTACTTGGTGGTAGAAAACGTGCCAATTTTCTCCATTTATCTGATATTCTTTCGGCAACCAAATAAAAGTCATCTATGTCAAGTATCCGTTCGGAACCTGAAAAAAAATTGATTGCATTTCTACGGGTTGCAGCCAGAAGGTGGTTGGTGCATTTTTGGCCACTATTATAATAGCCAGACAAATGAAGGCCAAGAGGCTCAGCATTTGAAGTTTAAGCGCACTATTGCATAAACTTTTATAGATTAAAGCGCATGGGCCACTCGGTCTTTATTTGTCTGGCTATTACAATAATGGCTGAAAATGAACTAACTTACGGCTCCAACTCATTGATTTTAAATAAAAATACTTAAATGAAATCCATTAAGTTCAGAATACAAATTTTGTATAAAAATTTTGATATAAAATTCTTAATTTTATATCAAAATTTTAGTGACAAAACAAATTTTAGTGACAAAACAAAAAATGTGTATACTGCATATATAAAGTCTACAACATAAAATCGGATGGAATTCCGTCCGGATGGCCAAAGTTTTTAAGCTGTAAACATTCCGTTCTGAGGAACCCGAAATTAAATCCGGACAAACCCCATGAAATTTTCGAGGGGTGGTCTGTTCTGGATATGTCCACTCCTCATCACTCACATGTCCCATTGTGTGCCTAGCCGAATCTACGATCTGATAGAAAAGCAGATCAAAATACTGTAACCCGCAGAGTGGAAACAGTAAAAAAAAAAATCACATAGAACGTGCGGATGCGATTTACTTCCATGTCTTTTACAAATTATGAATCCTTAGAATGACTAATTGTTAAAAATATTGATTTAAATTTCAATAAAATGACGACGTTGAAGACTTATTTATTAAAATATCACATGGAAAATTATAATTATAACTTACTGATCAGTTCTTCTGAAAGAGCAATTAAGCCACTGTGATCATCAGAATTACAAGATTCTTCCTCACATGGCTCTTTCTTTACATTCGCTTTACGAATAACGTCATTCACGTTGCTCCAGTAATATCTGTTTCCAATTTTTACGTTTTTTGCTTTCTTAATCTTTATTTTCTGTTTGAAAAAATACAAAATTATTTAATCAAAATTAATTTTATATAATAAAATATAATTATGTTCATCATAATAACCTAAATTGGCCGAGGAAGTTAAAACGTTAGCCTGCTACTTTGGAGAATGCGGAAGGGTCGAAGTTTTTTGGTGAAAATTTGACTTTTGTTAAAGTTCACATTAACTTAACAGTAAAAACTCCATTAACCGGGATTATATAGACCGGATTCTTGGTATTCAATGACGTTCATTACTTTCAACCTTTTGCACTTTCACTTTAGGTTTTGCTTTCGTATACATAAGTATTTATGTTGTTTTGTATATAACTATATGTTTATTTACCTGTATATAATTTTTCTTCCTTATACACTTTAATTATATATCTATTTTGACAAATAAATTAAATGTGAATCATAATTATCTATCGTTATCATTTTTACTCCCTATCATTACCAAATTAATGGAGTTTCTGTTGTACTCGTTTAATACTAACTAAAGATAAAATTAAGTAATAAAGCTTAACTTACCTCTTTGTTAGCAAAAGAGTTAACACATGGACAACTGAAACTGCTATTTCCCATTCTGAAAGCTTCTTATAAGTATGTGAATTACGGACGGTGGAAAATAAGACAAAAAAAAGGAGGAGGAATTCCAGGTGTGAAGGGGAAAATTAAACTGATCCTAATCAGACCCCTCTAGAGCCCGTTCTGCTAATCGGATTTCGATGAAACTTGGTATATACGTTAAAAAATAAGAAAAAGTCACCGTGAGATGGCTGTTTTCGCAAAGATATGCAGTAGTAATATAATGCTAAAGTTGAATCACGCAAGGCATTCTGGTTTTGGTAGACGCAATACCACGCGACTATTGTCGTTTGAATTGAGATAGCGTTATCAATTTATGATTTGTTTCAGTTTTGCTTTCGCAGTTGTTGCATAACTGAGGGAAATGTTATAATCGATTAAATTTTCACCCTCTGGGGGTGAAAATAAGGCAATAATCAAATAAATGACGAGTCTAAAGAATTATTTCCAGCTGGTTATTTTTTTTAAATGATAAGTGTAAGTTGCATAATTTTCCCAGCAAAAAATTTAAAATTGCGTGTGGCGCCATCTGTTACGATATTTTATTTTAAAACTTTTTAAATTATTAGTTATTATAAAATGTGAAAAAGATTAATTTTCATGTCAGAATTGAGTTTAAAAAAAATAATAATTGTAAATTCTAATAACGAGTAAAATCTTTAAGTACGTATGCACTCGACATATGACAAACGACCCCTTCTATCTTCAAACCCCTAAGTTTTAACAACCAAAATTTAATAGCACCAATGCCCCTGATACATAAACCTCCCTGTAAAATTTTAGAAATTTTTGACTAAAGAAACAGGAGTTTCTTCAGTCAAAAATTCCATCACGAAATCGTCCCTCTATCACACTCATACATACAGAAAACCACCAAACTTTTTTGCATTTCTCGACGTTTCAAGATTTCCCGAGTCCAAAAATGTAAACATTTTTTAGAGGAGTCATTTTTGACCGATCGCCATACTTTTCCCTATTATATAGTTCTATCGCAGCCGGAAAAGTAATAATGAAAGCGAAAGAATTTTTAGTCTCCGATATGTTTATCTACAGATTAATTGAATAATCAAGCCATAGTTGCAATGTATTAATGAAACCGAAAGCTTGAAAATACGAGCATTCTGATGGGAAGCCAATTACTTTCTTTGTGCTTTATTACTCATGAAGAGGTAATTATTGTTTTTATTGTAACTTAATGTTAAGTTCATTTTATTTTTTCGGCTATTATAACGTAACACCGAAAAGTATTGTAATTGTGATCGAAAGTAGTGTTTGAGACCTTCTAAGCCCAGAAAATAAGACAATAAAAAATAGGAGGAATTCCAGGTGTGAAGAAGAAAATTAAACTGATCCTATGCAGACTTCTCAAAAGCCCGTTCTGCTTATCGGATTTCGATTAAACTTGGTATATACGTTAAAAAATTTTAAAAAGTCACCGTGAAATGGGTGTTTTAGGCAGACGTAAAAAAGGCAAAGTAGGCAGACGTAAAAAAGCCTGCATTCAAAGCCGGAAAATCATTCTGCGCATCTTTATGTTGTTGTTGATCGTGCCTTTACAGAAGAAAGACAGAGCCTAGCTGCACTGAGAAATCTCTGGTGCTGTAGTTGACAGAGCCTCCAGTTCATAATATTCTTCAAGTGTTCGACCGTGTCTGGTTGTGGGGATTCCTAAAAGATCGTGTTTATGGAGAAGGGATTAGGCCACCGCCCGAATTGAAAGCCAGCATTACATGTCATGTTGCTGAAATTCCTGGAGGCTTTCTTCGTGCTACTATTGAACATGCTGTAATGCGCTTTAAACACGAAATTAATGTCAATGGAGTGCTCGTTGAACACATTCTGTGATTGAATATACAGTCAACCCCCCTATAAGATATAGATACGTTCCATTCTTTAGGAATCCGATTTCTTACGAGTCGTTCCAATCACAGCCCGACACGTGTCAAGTTTACGGACTACGGCTGATTGAAAGGTTTTCTTCCATAAAATTAATCAATTCTAGACTAATCCGACTCAACATTTCCAAAATACGTATATATTTTTTGGGAATAATCCGTATAAACTACGCTATAAACAAAAAATTGTAGGATTACTTACCGAGTGTCACCATTCGACATTGCCATTGCTCAACATTGTTTTCGTCGCGGAACAGCTCAGCAAAGAGCGGCCGATTTCTAACAACTTATTTTTCTGTGAAAACTTCGTAGAACTTCGGAGACATCATTAATATAAATAATTTTAATCGCCGTTGAATAAGAAATGTTTCTTTCACAAGAAATGTATAAAATTACAGTACTGTATTAGACTTACGGTACCTAATTTACATACTGACAGACGATAGTTAGCGTAAAAATCTCCGTAGCGTGGCGCCACGCTAGACGGCGGAAATTATATATTTAATTATAACAAAGTTACAATAAGTTAATATATAATTATATATACAGTACCTAATTTATATATAATTAATATATAATTATATGTACAGTACCTAATTTATATATAATTTATATAATACTGTCCAGACGATAGAAATCTCTCCGTAGCGTGGCGCTACGGACGGCGGGAAAGTAGTTAGGCTGCCCAATAACGTTTGAGGTAATTATAGGGGGTTTTACTGTTTTTTTAAGGATACCGGTCACAATTTTTTCGTAGTTTTATAGGAATCGTAATTATAGGGACTGTAATTATAGGGGGGTCGACTGTAGTTTATATGTTCCTGACTTGTTTTCATTCTTCTTTAGGCGTCATATTTTCACCTGCTGGTCAAATTTTGAACTATTTTTTTATTGCAGAAATCTCTTTTTCGTGGAGTATATAACGTATATACCAAATTTCATCAAAATCTGATAAGCAGAACGTGCTCTAGAGAGAATAGGGACAGTTTAATTATAACCGCCGTGTGTGTGTGTGTGTGTGTTAATGTTATTTTGTTTAATATCTCAGGATAGGGTATAAACGAAATTTGGCGTGTAACTTGTAAATAAATGGAACTAATGCTACTAAATTTTGTAATATTCAACTCGAGAGAATGAGGGGATAGAGAGGATTACTTGTCATATTTCGACTAGGATCAGACATAATGAAAACGTTACCCATTGTTAGAGTTTACAATACTTTTAAAAACTCGTCTCTATGCTCAAAGTTAAGCCTTTTTTATCTTTTTATAATACTTAATAATATACTTAAGGATCCGCATCGAATCCTTACGTTTGTAGAAAGCTTCTACGTAAACACTCATAATTTGTTAATTCAGCAATTTCAATAACCTCGATTGAACGAATGAAAACTTTGTTCTATAGAAAAAATTTCATTTGTTGGTTTGTTTGTTACGGAAACGCAAACTTGGGGATGCCTTCTGGGGTGGTCTTTTCAATGGTAACTAGCCCCTATTCAGGCGTTACAATTGTGGAGAAAACATGGAAAACTCCACTTCGCCAGCCCGGCCTAGAGAGGCGCAAATTCGCGACTGAACTACCGGTGTTCAGGGAACGGTACGGAAAAAATGGTGGGCCGGAAAATTTAAAAACTTTATTCGCGAATAGAGCGTGCTAACAAATTGGAATATCGAGTCAATGTGTGTGTGTATATTACTTCTTCATATTTATATATTATAACTATATTTGAACACATCTTACACTTTATATCTTTTAAAACAAATTCAATTTAACGGACTTTCGGCAATATCCGACACCTCTTTTGCCCAATTAGTTCGTTATATCGAGGGTTTGCCGTAATAACGTAATTTATTATAAATTCAACTCTAATACAGTTAGGATTGTATTTATGATAAATATGTCATTGTATCGATCTCCAAAAATAGATAAATGAACTCATTTTTGCCATTTAAAAAAATTAACTTATTCGCATATTTCATATTTATTGTACTATACAATAAAACAAAACAAAGTTATTTTAATCTTTGTGCTTAAATATATTTATCTACAGTTTAAGTAATAATTGTATCATAATTAAAAGACAATAACTTAAAAAGTCAGTGGCGTGCCGTCATTGGAAGCGGTGGATGCGCCGCTTCCCTTGTATTTTCTAAAAAATAAATACATATTAATTTTAATTATATGAAAATAATCGCACAATATTTTATTATAACCGCATTATGTATCTTATTACAAATTTCTATACTACATGTGAAAAAAAAGATAAGATTGCTATTGTATATTCGAATATTAGTGGCGGAGTGGAAGCGCTGTATTGTCAGCATCCAAAAAGCCAGATTCGCGCATGCGCTTTACAGAGCACCAACCTCACCCGGTTTAGCTGGTGGAAGCCTAGGACCTTGGGTGGATGCTACACGTATACCGCATCCAATTCTATCCAGGACCGGTTCTGGGCTGTTAGCCGCCTGCCCGCTAGATTTTTGGCCGCCCTCGCCCGATTACGTGAATCACGAGTAGATTTATAACTTAACCCAACCGATAAGAATTTACTGGTATGTTTTTATGATAGTTCTGTATAGTTGATAGGAGTTTAAAAAATCCATTAAAATATTTTATATTTTTATTCCGCTCTCCGATTTTATATTAAAAATTTGTCGTTCCACTTTTTTCCCGAGACTACAAATATTCGAGTACAAAGTTACTGGTTTCGACTTATTTCTACTTAAGAAGTAGTTAAATAATTAAAAGTTTAAGGAATTGGGGACATAAACAAATCCCTGACGAAAGAGCCGAAATTTTACTTAAACAAAAGCTTAACCGAACCAATCTCTAGCCGAGTGCAGTGGGGACTGATTTCTTCGAAATACTGTATTAGATGTAATAAAGACAGAAATTTTTCCAGTTCAACGAGAGTGGCCGAAAAGTTGTAAATTTTGGAAATTTCCGTGGACACCTGATCCTAAAAGAATTAGTTAGAAAACAAACGACGGACAATCTATTAAGTTTAACATATTTAGATTTTTACAGCTATGGTGAGAAACGTTTAAAATATACAACCACCCTGTCGCCTCCTTTGAGATGTACTAGTGATGAGACAAAAGAGGCATTTGACATTAACCGGTATCGGCACCCTCGGGATTTGGCACCCATACACGCACCGCACACCTACCAAGATCGTCTCTGATTCCATCCATGAGCCACTGGTAGGGAGCAATTTTAACTAAGTGGATTGTTTTAATATTTAAAAAGTAAAGAATTTTATGTTATTAGAGAGGTTGAGGCGCACGTTTTAAACGTGTAAACGTGTACGTGTGACGTTTGGCGCTGCTTTCCCGTAAGCCTAAAAGTTTGACGATGGTGTTTGGAATGTCGAGCGTGATTCCACCGACTATCCAAACACCATTGTCAAACTTTTAGGCTTACGGGAAAGCGGCGCCGAACGTCACACGTACACGTTTACACGTTTAAAACGTGCTCCTCAACCTCTCTATTCTTATGTACTGTACGTTTCTTCACAAGACTATATTCATACAATTGAATATTTGGATATACAATTATACATACCAGGTATGTAATATCCATCACACATTTTATTTTAACAGGTAAGTTTTTATAATTTTATTTTTAATTTTAGCCCTTATATTATGGCTAGCAATTTAGAATGTAATTGTGATATTGAAAATTTATTTCAAAAATGTTTTGGCTCAAGACCTTATAATGAAAAAGAAAATATTATTAAAAGAGAAAGACGAATGCCTAAATTAAATATAAATACGTCAACAAAAAACTATGTTCGACATTTTCACGATAAAATTTATGAAGACAAAATAGCTTTGTGGATGCATAAAAATGCAAAAATTGTTTTGTTGGCCTTGCCTATTATTTTCAAATGAAATTAGTGTGTGTGGAATAAGAATGGCTTTGACGATTTAAATAATTTTAATACAGCTGGCAAAAGACACGAAAATCGTAAATCTCGCATAGCTTCTTCCGTAAAATTGAAGCAATTTGGAAATCAAAGCGGAATAGAATTTAACATTAGTAAACAATATAAAATAAATATTAAAAATTATAACAAAGTTACGGCTAATGGATATATTATATCTAAATTAGTAGATGTTATCGAAGCAAGAATTTACATTTAGAGGGCATAGGGAATCTATTGAATCTAATATAACAGAGGTAATTATATTGAACTGGCTTATTTATTTAATGCGTTAGATAATCTATTAATTAAAAATACATTTAGAGAAGTCGACAGTTTTTACTGGCGTATCGAACAAACGAATATGAATGGACCCTAGACCATGGCTGACTGATTGCCTCTGGAAGTCGGCTTCTTACAGAAACGCAGCTTCCCTAACATCAAATGTCACAGCACGTCAAGGTCTCTTGGGGATAATCTTTTAACGCACAGTTTTCTGCCAAAATTCATATACAGCTCAATATTTTCTCTCTTCGTGCTTCATTTAACCATAAATCGATCTCATTTTTGTATTATCCAATTGGAGTGCAATTTTAAATTCGAAAACCTATACATTCCCACTCTGGTCGGACTGTTTTTCTGTGCTCTTCGTCAATCTCGAAAACGGAGTTAGACAGATAAAATCGAGATCAGATATGAAAAGATTATGGGTCGACGGAGATAGACAAACTTCCGGTCTGAATTAAAGGTCACGTGAGTTTTTAAATTAAAAGATAATTAAAAATTGCAGTTCGGTATTGTGACGATGTCGCAATAAATAATTCTCGTCGTTAATACTTTTTTAATTTACAAAATATTATTTAAACAAAGTTTCCATGTGTTTTTTAACGATATAAAAATACCATTAAGAATAATTATTAATGATTCCACTTTTAACAAGGTTATATATCGCTTTGTTGTTTAATATTTAACATCAGTGACACGTTATCCATGGACAAAAAAGAATAATAACATGGGACATAGACCTAGAAACAAGATATTCCAAACCAGTTTTTGTAAGAAAATATTTCTTCAAAACAATTTCCATGAAGAAAAACGTTTAAAGTCAATACTGTACGCGGGGACCCTAACTCAATTTCTCCTGGTTGCCAGGAAGTCATAACACGCCACTGTTTAGCATTGAAATTGATAGAATAAAGCAACATGACACATGAGCGATCTGACACTCGGGAAGACTTTTATGAAGAATTGACCCCTTTATACGTGTTAGGTACATTTATAAAGGGGACCCAGAAAACTGTATCCGGATCACTGAACATTGGTAGAGTATTTGTTCTTTAGATTTTTGAATTCGATTTGATAATTTCAACTATCAAACCGAACTGGATAGCTGAGACTTGAGAGTTAAGGCTATTAGACTTGCAAGGTTGGCTCACTTTGACGTCTATTCTGCATGATTAGAGTATCGTGAGGTAACTTAACTATGTCATGATAAGCTCTGTACTATTTCCCTAGACTATTAGGAAATGCTGTACAAAGCATTTTATTTTCCTGGCTGTTATAACCTGGGAATTATAGGTATTGAAATCTTGTCAAATTTGATACTCGGGTTTCCTGCAAATCTCGACATTTTGAGACCCCTAAAAACGAAGTAAAATTCCGAGGATATGTGTGTACTGTACGTGTTAGTGTTGTGTGTGGGCAGTGGCGCGTTATACTTTTATGGGGACCAGGCAAATTTGAATTAGAAGGGCTTCCGTACGGTGTTGACTTCATGCATTTTTCTTCGGGGAGGTTTTTGGAAAAATATTTTTGTAGAAAAGATTGGTTTGGAAACTGTTGCTAAATACCTTAGGTAATTGTATTTTTTTCTCATGGGATAACAAGCCACTCTGAGTTGGATGTCGAAAAAGTCGAGCATGGTTCATTGCCAGACTTTTTGTTGTTATGTTTATGGCGTATCCTTGCATATTTACGATGTGCAAACTTCAATAGAAATAAAGTAAAATAAAAATAAGTAACAGGTTAAATCAATTTATCCTGTTTTGTTACATATTACAACATATTCAATAGCCGATTGTGTTTCTTTGAGGCTCTAGGCGCAATCAGGCCCTTTATGTGAAAGTGTTTTTCCTTATATAAAAAGTCAATAACATCGTCAATATTTGAGTTATATCACTGTTCTTGCTGGGGTGAGAAATGCAACTTGTTAAACGTTCACAAAATTTTTAGAGACATACTCTTTTTGCTATGCAATTTTTGAGGACCTAGCGCACGCGCCTAATGAGCCTCTTGGGAAATCTGCCATCGAACATATTTGCTTATTCATTCACACACGTCATTTGCAAATAACATGCAATTACTTTTATTTTATAACTAATATGTTATGAATCTATAGCTTGGGTTCTTACATTTCTAAAGTGTCATTATTTCGTAGAGGGAAAGGGCCTGTTATATATTACAGCCTAGGATCAGAACAGACTAAGTTCAGCCTCGTGTATAACTCAAGTTCAAACAGATTTCCTTTTGAAACGACAGCAACAGACTACAAAATAAATGATATCATTAATTCCAAAAGTTTAAAATGAAAAACAAAGACCTTTGTGTTTCTAATACCAAAATCGACGATAATAGTCATTTATTTGATAAATAATTCGTTTAATACATAAGATACAAATTGTAAAAGTTTGGCACATTTTCAATTATAAATTTTAAAATTAATCTTCACACACTAACGGAAATATTGCTTAAAATGATGAAATTGCAACGACTCAACACACTGTTACGAATATGCTCAATGGCTCAGAGTTTAAAACTTTTTAATTTTGTTATTTCGCATTATGATCATCAGAATTACGAGATTCTTCATCACATCGAGCTTTCCTTTCATTCGCTTCACGATTATCGTCATTCACGGTCGAGTTATATTTGTTCCCAATGTCCACGTCTTTTGCTTCCTTAATATCTATTTTCTGTTGAAAAAATACAAAATTATTCAATCAAAATTAATTTAATATATTAAAATACAGTTATGTTTATCATAATAATCTACAGTTGGCCGAGGAAGTTAAAGCGTTAGCCTGCTACTTTGGAGGATCCGGAAGGGTTGAAAATCCCCTTAAAATTTTTTAGTGAAAATTTGACTTTTGTAAAACTAATAACTAAAACTTGTTTTGTATATTTTCGTCCGATGGCGATAATTATGATTAATTATTTGAAGACATAATCCTTTCCAATATGTTTGTATTTTTAATTGGATGTATTCTTGTCTTTTTAAAGGACTTTTTGGTGGCTAGTAGCCTAGAAAGGAGGGTCAGTCGCCAAGAATGTATTGTCTGGAACACAGAGCTAATAAATAAGGGTTCCTTTTTTGGGAAGGACTATGTCTTCAAATAATTAAACTAAAACTTGTTAATATTGTCGGACTAGTTGTTCAAAATGTGATTATTTATTGTACTTACTTCGTTGAGAATAATAATTGACCATTAATCATTGTTAGTTCTGAGAAAATTTGAAAACAATCAAGTTTGCCTTTATTTGGGTAAAGGAATTTACAAAACTACTTGAACACAGCAAAATTATCTACCGACCAAATGAATAAAACAGCTTCTTCCCCGCCTCAAAGAGACTTGAGCGCCAACTATGGCTACCTGTTACTTTAATTCTATTTTAAAATACAGCTGACAATTTGACGGTTACTTTTAAAACTTAAAGTTTTAAAACTTTCTGGACGTTCCTTTTATCAGAATTTACATTTATCTCGTGGTTTACATTTTAATTACTTTTTTTTTTTTATCGATTTAAACACAAAAACTTTCGAAAAAATTTAAGATGAAGAAATTTTTTGATCGTTAGCGAATAAAGCAATTTTGATTGTGAATTTCAGAAGTTTGACAGCTTTTTTTAAGTTATCTAAATTCAGATTAACCTAACAGTAGAAACTCCATTAACCGGGATTATATAGACCGGATTCTTGGTATTCAATGACGTTCATTACTTTCAACCTTTTGCACTTTCACTTTTGCTTTCATATACATAAGTATTTATGCTGTTTTGTATATATTTATATGTTTATTTACCTGTATGTAAATTATTCTTACTTATACACTTTAATTATATATCTATTTCGACAAATGAATTAAATGTGAATCATAATTATCCATCGTTATCATTTTTACTCCCTATCATTACCAAATTAATGGAGTTTCTGTTGTACTCGTTTGATACTAACTAAAGATAAAATTAAGTAATAAAGCTTAACTTACCTCTTTGTTAGCAACAGTGTTTATACATGGACAACTGAAACTGCTATTTCCCATTTTGAAAGTTTCTTATAAGTATATGAATTACGGACAGATATTACAGGAATGATATGCTGTAACATAATGCTAAAGTCGACTCACGCAAGGCTTTCTGGTATTGGTAGACGCAACAACACGTGACTATTGTTGTTCGAGTTGAGATAGTGTTATCAATGTATGAGTTGTTTCATATATAAATTCATATACTGTTTTGTTTTTGCTTTGCCGGTTGTTACATAACAGAGGGAAATGTTATAATCGATCAAATTTTCACCCTCTGGGAGTGAAAATAAGGCAATAATCAAATAAATGACGAGTCTAAAGAATTATTTCCAACTGGTTATTTTTTTTAAAAAATGATAAGTTGCATAATTTTCCCAGCAAAAAATTTAAAATTGCGTGTGGCGCCATCTGTTGCGATATTTTATTTTAAAACTTTTTAAATTTTTAGTTATTATAAAATGTCAAAAAGATAAATTTTCAGGTTACAGATGATTTTACAAAAAATGATATTTGGTGTGATTACCATTACCATTATCTGCCTGAACGTTATAGATATTTTAATTAACCATTAATAGTTTAGAGTAGGGAGAGAACGACTCTCCAAAGGAAGTGACGTTAGCCAACAACAGCGTCATTCCCCCGTGGTCCGAGATTATTGTAGAAGGGAAAGTTCACTCTCCCTTGACAAATCAATTAGGAATCGTGGAACCGACACCTCCCGATAGAGAGGGAATGTTTATTGCCTGTATCTTGGAATAAACCGGTGAACGCGGTAGAGTTCTTATTAGGATAATGAACGTAAAAACGTAACCATTTAAAATAAACCGGGGGAGCTAGATAGGAACTTTTCTCTTGGCGGAAGAGGAAACGAAAGAAAACGCAGAACACTATAAAATGACGCGATCACGTGAAAACAATCTGAGCTAAGTTTGCGAATCTGTTTGATTTTAGCGAAGTAGGAAAGGGTAAGCTGACCCCTTTGTTAAGTTTATTATATAAATACATGCATGTATTCGCGAAAGACGATTTTGATTTAGGTTATTGTGACTTAATAGAGCATAAGATAAACACTGGGAATAATCCCCCGGTATGTGTGCTCCGTGTCGAATTTAATATGCTCAAAGAGGAATAATGGATGAATTAGAGAATAAAATGGTTAAGAGCGGAGTAGTGGACCCCATGGTCGTGGACTACTGCCAATTAAATAAAATCTCCCAGCTAGACCCTTATCCGTTGCCCTCATCTTGGGCCCTGAGACTCGAGTTTTTCGTGTTACAACTTCCAACTTGTTGAAGGTGTCACGTGGTATTATCTGACACTCTGACGTCAAACTGGTAGTCTCGAGTTATAACTCACGTGCTTTCCCAATTCACCATGCGAGTTCCTACTCACTTTTTGAGTCGAGCATGTGAGATCGCTACACGAAAATGAAAACGGCTGACGGATATGCTATTCTGAGCGCAATCGAAGCATTTGAAAGAGCCGAAAAACGTTGTTTAAGAAAGCAAAGAATTTTTCGACCAATTATATAATATAATTTATATTATTATTATTAATAATAATATAAATTATTAAGAGCATAGCCACTATATTAAGATTATTTATTAATCAGAAGTGTTAAGTTCATTGAACAATTTAAGATATAGATCAAGGAAGAAAACTGAAGAAAGGATTAAATTAAAATACTTTTTTCCATTCAACAATGGATTTTAAAAATGAG